GCTTGGGGGTGAAGTAAAGCGTCTATCAGCAGCTCCACTGACTGAAACGGAGCTGAAGCTGTGCATGCACTTGTGTTTGTAAGAAACCTGACAAATTTAAAGCTGATAACAAACTTTGCTGCCATCCTCAACAATTCTAACAGACATACCTGTAACATGCACAGGTGTGTCTAAGCGAGGGAACAGCATTTTTTGTTTTATTGTTTTTTTTTTAGTTTATTTAACAAAAAATGAATATGTGCGTAATTACTGTGTTTAAAAAAAAAAAAAAAAAAAAAAAAAAAAATTATAACTAAATGATGCATTCTCATAAACTTACAATCAGCTCTGCGTTTTATCATCTGAGAGGGGATCCCCTTTCCCCAAACTGAAACAAAGAGGTAACAGACATCACAGTCATCTTAATAAAATATCATCTTCTTCCTCCTCACCTTAAGCCTCGTCTCCTGAACTGAAGTCAGGGCTCTAACACACGAAAACATACGTAAAATAGCTAATTTATGTCCGATATTGTCACAATTACTTATCGTCAACAGATTAGACATGAGATGGATAAACAACAACAACAGCAGCTAGTTATAAGCTAACATAAGTTTTCCAGCCTCTCCCAGAGTAAATAAAGGCGGACGCTTCTTACCCGCTGAGGTAAACAGTGAACTGACGTATTTCACTGTCGGGGGGAACGGTCACTTTGCTATCAGAGTACACTGACAGCAAATCAGGAAGTGTGTTCACAAACAACAGTAGAAACGTACACTCCAGTCACAGCTTTTATGGAGTACAGTCTAACTTTAATACCCGGATCTCTTGTAGCTGGACAAAATGCATTTGTCCAGCAGCCACCATAGCTAGGATCTCTATTTAATTGGGAGGGGTTAGGAAATAGACCTCTGTTGACCATAATCTGTAATCTGCTGGCATCTAGTGGTGAAAATGTAACTTTAAATTTAATTATTTTGCATATTAAGTTTATTCATATGAAATTTAAATAAACTAATAACATATTTTACATTATTATACTAAATATGTTTATTTATTGCTTTTTTTTTAATGGGCCAATGTGATGAGTTTGTTTTTTAAATGATCTGTGGCTGAGAGAAAAAAAACTAAGCATCTGATTAGTGACTCCCCTTGACCCAAAGCCTTTTACCTGGGCTGCTTAAACAGTTGTCCTGGAACAGTTTGGATTAAATGTAAATTACTTGTTTTTAGGAGGTCAGAGGAATTGGGTTCAGGTTTTCTGCAATGGAGGTGTTCCCACTGAGCTGGCACTGCTCTACATGATCGAGGTAAACTGAGAAGCACAGGAAATAAGCTGCTCTGTGTGAGTGTAATGTTAGTAAAGTTGTTCATTTCATGCTCGTGCTTCAGGTGGGTCCAGGTGAGATCCCCATCGATTTCAATAAGCAGTACTCTGCCTCCTGGATGTGCCTCTCCCTACTGGGCGCGCTCGCATGCAGCACCGGGGACACCTGGGCATCTGAGGTGGGGCCAGTCCTCAGCCTATCAAAGCCAAGACTCATAACCACTTGGAAGGAAGTCCCCACAGGTGAGGAGCCGGTAAGAGGGTGGGGTAATGATGTGAATGTTCCACTTTGTGTTAAAGAGGGGGAAAAGTCCCACAGCACAGTTCAGATCAGACTGGGGTTTTTTTTAAGTTCAATTCAATTCAATTCAATTTTATTTATATAGCGCCAAATCACAACAAATGTCGCCTCAAGGCGCTTCATAGATACAGAGAAAAGCCC